TCCCATGACAGAGACTTTAGCACATCTAAAACCAATAGGAGAAGGGCACCTGGGTGGCTCAGTTGGTTAAGCGTCTGACTTCAGCCGAGGTCATGATCTCGCTGTTCCTGAGATGGAGCCCCGTGTCGGGCTCTGTGCTGACAGCTCAGAGCCTGGAGCCTGCTTCAGATTCTGTGTCTCCCTCTCTCTCTCTCTGCCCCTCCCCCACTCATGCTCTGTCTCTCTCTCAAAAATAAACACATTAAAAAAATTTTTTTTTAAACCAATAGGAGGGACCCAACTAGAAGACAAGGTTGAATATATGAAAGAGTAAAGAGATTATATGTAATTTTTCCTTCTTTATATGTTTCTATTACCAAACACTTAAGTTTTCTACTGGACTATCTTCTAATCAGAAAGTGTTTTAAAAGCTGCACATGGGCCCTCCGTGGTGGCATCGCGAGAACGCAGAACTGTCCGCAGTTCCACAACAAGAGAACGTTTACAGTTATTATCAACCACATCCCGTGGCTTTTGGACATCTGAGTGGATTCGAGTTTCAGTTCCAGGACCCTCTTGTTAGATGCCCTTGGACAAGCTATTAAACTGCTCTGGGCCTCAGTGTCATCTCCATAAAATAACTTTTCTGCTGAACTTCTTTACCCAACACAGGAAAGTAGATATAAAGGAACTTTAAAAGGATGTGAAAGGGCTTATAAAGTTGTATTATTCTTGTTATCATCAATTCTGCCAACTGTTAAATACTATGAAAAAAACTGGAATATGGAGATATAAAGCTGTTTCACCACCTGGTTCTGTCTGTCTCAGCTAAGATGATCTGGATCAGGATCCTGCTGAGAGAATCAGAGAGAAAATGGTACCCACAGATTGCTTATATAGCAATTCTCCCTCCCTTGCTGATAGCCATCCACCAGGCTCACGTTCATTGGGGTACACAATCCATTTTCTTCCCTTGTTCATCTTCAAAGTCAATTTCCCCCTCGATGATGTATGTCCCACACCTATTCCAAGTTCCACAGAGCTGTCTCCTGGCAGCCAAAGGAGGAACTTACCCACGATGCTATCTGCCTGGGCATCTGTTGTGTTAGATGCACCGCCCCGATGATCCAAGAGAGATTCAGTCCTAGCTGCTGCTGGCAAACGGGGCTGCTGTTGAGGGAAATACACACAAGCAGTAATTTAATTGCAGGCTATTTCAGAACTAAAGCCAAAAAGGCTCACACTTCCACTCCCCAGTTGGCTCTAGAGAAGCAATAATGGGAGCTAGAGACAAAGAGAGATGGAAGAAGAGTTGATGTCACATAAAAAAAAAAAAAAAAAAAAAAAAAAAAAAAAAAAAAAAAAAAAAAAAAAAAAAAATCAGAGGCTAAAAAGTCACCAACTCAGGAGTATTTTCCCTCAAGGAAAAACTAGAAAGTGTTATGATTCTGCTACTGGCTATTAAAACGTGGTTTTTTGTTTGCTTTAAGAGCCATGTTTTATTCAAAATGCAAAAATCAACATAAGTATTTCTCAAAGAGCTCAAGACTGATGAAAAAGTTGCCTGGAAAGACCACATGGCACTGTGTCATTTGCTCTTGGTTCCAGCAAGCTGACCAAGGCACACTTGGACCAAAGACCTTGAGGACACAGGGTTGAAGTCAGACTAGGAACTTCACTGAGGACAGGGACGCTGCCTCTGGTTTGTACAGGGCCTCGTACATGGGAAGTATTGAGAAAGAACCATCAATTTTATTTCATAAAGATCTGCAGGCAACTTTATGTCTCAAGGAAATCCTAGCACGCTTTTTAAAGTACGCTCGCCCAAAAAACCCCATGCGGGAGCCTAAATTGTGATCATCTTGAAAGGGCTTACTGCTTTAATGCTGGACCAGCCTCCTCTCAACAGGCACCAGGCACAAGAGGACTGTTTTAGATTCTCTTTTTATCCTTAACTATTTTCTGCTGCCTCTTAAATGGAAAGGAAAAAATGACAAATGGTATAAAGAGTCATAATGACAAGGAGAAATTAAAACCAAAGGATCCAGGAAAAATCTTTACCTCTGAGTGACGCATCTCTGCTGACCCAATGCTATGGTTTGCTCCAGCCAATGAGCTGAGAAGGCTAAAGCCTTGGTTCCTATCTGAAAAGAAAACAATCCAGTCACGGACATTTGTTATTTACGTTGTAAAGTGTTAAAATGACCGTGATAAAACACAGTGGCTATTTCCTCATTATAAAAGTTCTAACTATAAAAACTGTTACTCTGGGACATTAGGAATTTATAGATCTTTTTAAAAAAAAAATTTTTTTTAACATTTATTTATTTTTGAGACAGAGAGAGACAGAGCATGAACGGGGGAGGGTCAGAGAGAGGGAGACACAGAATCCGAAACAGGCTCCAGGCTCTGAGCTGTCAGCACAGAGCCCGATGTGGGGCTCGAACCCACAAACCGTGAGATCATGACCTGAGCCAAAGTCGGCCACTTAACCGACTGAGCCACC